ACATCCGTGGGACAACCACGGGTAACCAAAGGACACTCGCGGACAGCCATGGGACAACCACGGGAGAATCACGGGACAACCACAGCACAACCACGGGACAGCCGTGGAACAAGAACGGGACAACCGCGGGACAATTTTTGGGACAACCGCGTGACAACCACGGGACAACCATGGGACAACCCTGGGGCAGCCGCAGGAGACCCACGTGACAACCGTGGAGCAGCCACGTGACGACCGCGGGACAACCACGGGACAACCACTGGCCAGCCGCGGACGTGCAGTGGGTGTTGCTGCCAGGAGTGGGGCAGCACGAGACCCACCACACGATTCTGCAGGGCGAGGCACCTTGCGGAAGTGAGGGGCGGTGGCCACGACAATGCCCTCCTCCGTCTCCCAAGGCAGCCTCCCCGTGGCTCCTAGTCCTCGTCTCGGCGTCGTCTCCTCGCTGCTCGCTCTCCTCCTCGTCCTCGTCGTCGTGGCCTCCGCCCGGCCGCCACGCCCGGACGGCGGTGGCGTGGGCGCCGCGCCTCTCCCAGAGGGAGCGCCTCCGCGCGGGACAAAACGCCCAGGAGAAGGACCAGTTCGGCCTCCAGCGGAAGAAGCTGGAGGCGGAGCTCAGCACAAAGGAGACGCGCATCAATCGCCTGACGGAGGAGATGGAGAAGCAGAAGGCCAGCCTGAAGGCATTCGGTTCCGGCCCCGTCTTGCCAACGAGGCGCAAAGGTGGAGGCCGTCATGAGGGTTCTGAGGCGGAGGATGAGCAGCAGGATGGCAGAATGAGCGGGGCGAGATTAGGAGGGATGATGTAGGATGAGAGAGAACGGGATGTGGAGGAGGTGGAGGAAAAGGGGGAGGCAGAGGACCACACGGAACAAGAAAAAAGCGAATCATGGTGGAAGAGAAGGAGGAGGAGGTGAAGGAAGAGCAGGAGGAGCAGGAGGAGGAGGAAAAGGAGGAGGATGAGAAGGAGGAGGATGAGGGACATGCGGAGGAGAACATGGAGTCGGGGGGAGGACGAGGGGTCGGCGTATAAGAGCAGGCCAAGTAGGAGGAGGCGGAGGACAGTATCGGGTCGCTAATGTTACCGCCCTGGCTCCCGCTGTCCCCCTTACCAGTTCTTCTCTTGCGTGCTGGCCCTCGCAGTCCGCCGCGACACGGACATGGCACCCCAGAAAGCAAAATGAGGCCGAGCGCATCGACTCCTCGATGCCATCGGCTCCTTCCTCACGACGCCAGGGTTCGGGCCTACATGCGGGGTCTGGTCGCTTGCAGATTTGATTCCTGGCTCCCTCTGCATGTCTCCGGGGAGGGAGCAGGATGGCTCGGTGTGGGATCATGGACCCCACTGCCCAGACCCCCGACGTCATGATTTTTTCATTGCGTCGACCCCCCGAGGTCTCGACCTATTCCCCGGGACCGATTTTTCATCCCGAGTCGTTTTTTGACGGCCCCGAGGCCCGGTAAGGGCCCCCAGAGGCCGAAAATGGCGAAACACCTCCCGTCGTGATTTTTTCAGTGCTCGAGAGGGTCTGGGTGCTAGCCTCGATCCTCCACCTCTCGCCCTGAAGACCGCCGACGACCTGCCGAAAAAAAAGACCGCCGAGGAGGCGGCTGGGTAGACGGTCGGCCTGGATTAGTAGGCCGACCTTGCCAGCTCAAGGGTACCCTTGTGTTCTCTGTGCCTCGCGACGCGCGCCTTCTGACACTCCTGTGGCGATGTGGCCCTCGGAAGGCTCTCGAGCCCTCTCGCGTGCCCTCTCCGATCAAGTCCGACTGTACGGCCAGACTCCGTGGTGGCTCAGCGTGCCGCGCCGCCGGTGCTGGCCTCTGTACACCGCGACGGCAGCGCGGCACGCTGAGCCGCTTCCCGGCCCCCCCCCCCCCGAGCGACAGCGCCCTCGTGAGGCCCTTCCAGGCCTCGCGCCCCGCGGAGGGCGGAGAGGCGCGCGAGGCCCGCCCGCGGGGCACGCGTTGGAGGGAACTCTTCTCTCGCGGGCAGGTGCCGGATCGCCCAGGGGGGGTTCAGGACGGGCCGGCTCGCTCAAGGGGGGTGTCGGTCCGAGCAGTCGAGTCGCCCAGGGGGGTCTCGGCTGCTCATCTCTTCTCGCACGAGTCGCGAACGGGGGGTCTCGTGGCGCGGGAGCAGCCCTCGTGAATCGCCCAGCCCATGCCAAGAGACACCCTGCTTGCCTCCAGGGTGCCCCGGGGTTCTCGGGTTTCGATGGTTTTGCTATGGTGGAAGGCGTGGCGGTCGCAAGCTACAAGCCAATGGACGTCCTGTGGTCTCAGGGTTGGGTTTCTTGTGGAAGGCTTCTTGTGGACTGGCCTCCTGTGTGGCAAGGGGTCCATGGTCCAAAGTACAAGGATGGAGAAGAAGAGCTTGGAACCTCACCAGATGGCCCAAGCATTCCAGGTGCGCCACACCTGCGCGACGCGCGTCGCGCGAACGCGCGCGCGAAGTGCGCTAGGCGCCAGGATCGCACAGGTGCACGCTGTGCAGGGTATGTCTTGCGACGCTGGCTTCACACGTCGTTGTGGAGAGCGGCCCCTGTTCCTGGCGCTGCATCCCATCCACCCCTTCCTCCTCCCCCTCCGTCCTCCCCCCCGTCCCTTCGCTCCCCTCTCCGTCCTTCCAGCCCCCACCCCCTCCCCTTCTGCTCTCCCTCCCTCCCTCCCAGCCCCCCTCACCCCTCTTGCCGCCATGAAGGAAGACAGGTTCTGGTTGACACGGGTCCTGGACTCGAGGGCTCCCCGAAGACGAAGCTCTCCATCCCGAGCTGTTTTTGTTGACGGTTCCGGGGCCCGTGGGTGGGCGCTTCCAGGACTTCTTCCCGCCAGCACCCGTTTTCCTCACGCGGGTTTTCGCTAAGAGAGGCTTGGTGGCCAGCGCACTTCGCCAAGACGGCGCTGCTTGCTCGAGCTCGAGCGGCACACTGGTGGCGCTCGAGCGAGGGTTCGGGGTGCGTGGCTCGAGGCTCGAGTCTCGAGGCTCGAGACTCGAGGCCCGAGGGCGGAGAGGCCACGCCCCTCTCCACGGCAGGCACCTCGGTGGCCCCCGCGCGGGGATGCCGCGGCTCGCATGACCCGAGGGCCCCCCCCGGGGGGCCCCTCCGGCGGCGGCGCGGAGAAGCCGCGCAGCTCGCCGCCGAGAGCCCCATGGGGGGGCCCCGGCGGCGGCGGCTCCTGCTCCCTGCGTTGGGGGGGGTGCGTGATGGTCAGGGCCCAAGTGGGGGCCTCTTGGGCCCGAAAGGGGCGCACCCTTCTATCTCGAGTTCCCCATCCTGGCCCCATCTGGGGGCCCTCTGGGGCCGTCTCGGGCGCCTCTTGTGCCGTCTTGGGGCCCTCTTGAGCCGTCTTGAGGCCTCCTTGGGGGCCTCTTGGGCCGTCTTCTCCCCCCCCTTCACTTATCTTGTCGCCCCCGCCCCCCCCCAATGAATTCGGTCCGCGCGGCCTGCCCTCTCCTCTGTCCGCCCACTCCCGGTGTGCCCGGTGCCCCGCGTGGCCCGCCGGCTCTGCAGACGCGCTTGCGTCCTGGGCGCGAAGTACGGGGGGGACTCTCAAAGAGGGGGGGGGGAAGGATCGTGCCCTCTTCGGGCCCTGATCTCGAAGCTACAGACGAGTCAACAGAGCGGAAGACAAGTAAACGCAACCGAAAACGTCGGATCTCTGGGCTGCTCTCCCGAGAGATCCGACGTCGGCTCTCTGGGCGGCTCTCCCGAGGCGTCGGATCTCTGGGCGGCTCTCCCGAGAGATCCGACGTCTTGATTTTTGTCCATACGGGGTCCCGAAGACCCGACCGCTTCACTGCATGCTCGTGTTGTGGGACCTTCCTGGGGCCCACCGGACGGATCTCTTCGACACCAGTTCGGCTCCACAGGTCGAAGCCAGGTCGACAAGCGTTCGGCTCGTGTGCGGCGCAGTTTCGAGCCAGGCTCGATTCAAGTTCGACTCGAGCCGACGGACGTCCGACGCAGCCTGGAGGCGCGAGCGGAGCGAGAGTGGCTCCAGGAAGACCTTTCGAGAGAGCGGCCGGCCCCGCGCCCCGACACGGCGCCCGCCCCGATGACGCGGGGCCCGGCGAGCGCGGGGCTCCTCGGCCCCCCGCGCGCGGCAGGTGCCCCAGCGCAGCCCGGCGCCGGGGAGGCGCAGCTCGGCCAGCTCCTGAGGGTGATGGTGGAGGCTGGCCAGGCGTCTCCCGAGGAGGCGGTCGGGTGCATAGTGGCCCTGGCTGCGTCGGCGGGGGCACACGCCGCCTGCGGCGACGAGGGCGTGGTGCAGTGCTACTGTGCGGTTGGCCAGGTGTTGCGGCGGCACTCCCGCTCGCTCGGGCAGTTCGCCGCGCTGCTGGAGTGCTACGTGCAGGCCAGGGAGTCCACGAGCAGCCCCGATATGCTGGATGCGTTCGAAGGGGACGCGCACATGTTCAGCCTCGCCGCCGCCATTTTCTTGGACTTGATGCAGGGCGCGCCTGCCACGGACGCAGCGGCGGTGTGTCAGGTGCTGCGCATCTTCGCCGCCAAGCAGACGAGCGAGGTCATCTACCGCCTGTTGCAGGAGGAGGCGCGCGCGAAGGTGGGCGACGACGTCCACCTGCCTGACTGGGAGAGGGACTCGCCTTTTTCCGGCGAGCGTATATCGGTCTTCGGCAACATGCCGTCTGTGGAGACGGCGCGCTCCGACATGGAGTACATGTTGAATCAAATGTCGGGCTGGGAGCACGAGCTCGTGGGCCCGAAGCTCCACGCTCATTACTGACATCGACCAGCGCTCTTGAGGCGGCTTACTCCGTCGAAGTGAACCTCAAGCGCACCATTGCAAGTGAGAAGCACCTGTGCGGGGGGAGAAGCTGGTACACAAGGATGAGCCGTGAGAGGGGCCCCTTCGAAAGGAGAGCGAGGGGCGAGGGACGGTGGGATCATCGCATCCATAGATTGCGACTAAGGGGGAGCAGGGTGACTGTGCGAATGGAGTGACGAAGTGGTCGTAGAGTGACGCAGCAGCGCTTGAAATTACAGCAGCTGCGCACACGATGACCCTTCGAAGCCGATTGGGCGGTAGGTTTCACGCTTTGGCTCGGTCAGTAGTGTCGGTAGAACGTGAATCGTTTCCATCGTTAGGGTGCCATGCCGACGTGGAAGGGCTCGAATCATTCAGAAAGTAATGATGGGATGCACTCGTTCGTGCGATGTGTCCCGCTGCCCGTCGGCACGCTCTCTGGATGATGATGCACCCTTTCTGGTGGGCTCACTCGCTGCATGCACTTGATCCGTGCAATCGGCTAGACAAGGAGGAACTGGGCAAAGCAAGCGTTGAAGAACTGTGAGGGTTCTCGAGCTGCTTGTGATTCCCCTTCCGAGCAGCGTCGCTTTAAATACATTGGAGCCCAACGGCGCCCTGCGTTTTTTTTATTTCAACCCCGGAGCCGCTCAACAGGTAGCGGCTGCGGATGTATTTCATGCGACCTGTAGGAGTTCGCGTCACCGCTGCGATCTTTTCGCTTTGCCCCTCTGCTACCGCCCTCGGCGATTATTTTGCCGCCTTGTGGTCTCCTACATTCGTCCCAGATCAGTAGGTCGACCCTGCCAGCTCATGGGTACCCTTGTGTCCTGTGTCTCGCGACCCGTGCCTCCTGCACTCCTACGGCGGTGTGGCTCTCGGAAGTGCCTTGTGTCCTCTCGCGTGTCCTGCCCAATCAAGTCCGACTGTACTACTCCTCCGCCCCACCTCGGCCTGATCGGGAGACCCCCGTGGATGGACGGGAGCCGACCGGCTTCCCGTCCTTTCGCCCACCATCACCCGGCCAAGCTTGCTGTGCACTCAGTGGACTCTGGCCAGCTGCGGGCGCAGGGGCACCCTTCTGCGGTAGAGCGAGACGCACGTGCACCCGCCCTTCCCCCCCCCCCCCTGGCCTCGAAGATCTCCCCCGCAGCCCTCCTCCCTCCCGCACCCTCCTCTCGCTGGGCTTGCTGGTCAGGGAGGCGGCTGTGGGAGAACTGCGCGAGCTGTCAGCCAGCCGCCCCGGACCCCAGTCAATCAGCTTCCCGAGCCAGCCACCCTCCCACCGTCGCGAGAGTTGGCACCACTGGTGTGCCGGCCAGCGGGCTTGCGCCCAGGCGGCGTGGGCCGCCGTGGGGTAGTTAGCAGAAGTCGTTCCGTCCTCGACGACAGCCCCCTGACGAACGTTTAATTTGGACCGATCTCTCCCTGGAGCTTCGGTCGTAGCCGCCCCGTTTGAAGATGATCCATTTGAAGGCGGCTCGGCCTTGGCCGTGTCTGGGCGATGCTACCATCGGGAGCCCGTAGTTCGTGCAGCCGACCGGTGTGTTGCGAAGGAGAAGAACAGAAAAGGAAGGTTCCCAGAATGATCATCTCACCTCCACTGGGCCAGCTCGTCATCCTGAGCCGTTTTGCTGGCGGTTCCAGGTTCCAGGGCCCGACGATGGGGCCCACATGGGCCAACACTTGAGACAACCTCCGCTCTAGGCTGAAGTGTGTATTTTGGAGGCAAACTAGCTTCAGAAGCTAAACTCCAAAAACTAGTAGCACTCTGAGTCAACTCTTGCCCGAAACTTTGTTTCATCTCAGATTTGTTTGAAACTCTGACTTGGCTCTGGTCTGAACTCTGATTCAACTCTGATTCGGCTCTGTCCCCAGCCGCGGAAAACAGATGTGAAACAGAGCTAAATAAATCGGAGTTGCGTCTAGGCCTCTAGGCCTCTAGGCCTCCCAGATCGGGTCGGAGTAGATGGCGTCGGAGGATCGCGCCGCATCGCCGGTGCGGCACGATGTGGAACCCGATTTCCTCCACGCCGACGGCGCCGATGCATCGCCGACGTCGGCGCATCGCCGATGCATCGGCGATGCGCCGGCGATGCGGCGCGATCCCCCGACACCATCTACGTGAACCCCATCTTGGAGGCCCCTAAGGTCCCAGACCGCCCCCGACGTCATGATTTTTGTCGTGACGTCGACCCCTACAGGTCTCAACCTCTTCCCCGGGACCAGTTTGTCGTCATGAGCAGTTTTTCGACGGCCCCCCTAATAGAACAACAAAAACGGAACTATTTTAAACCCCCCCCCAAAAAAAAACACGCCCGTCGTGATTTTCTCGTGACTCCGTCTGGGGCCAATGTCCTCCGCGCGGAGGCCTCTCGGCCCCAAAGGCCCGCCGCCGCCCCCGCCCAGGCGGCCTCTGGCGCGGACAGGGACCGCGCCGGCGGCGACCGCCGCGAGATCGACCGGCTGACGGGCGAGGCGGGGCCCGCGATAACGACCCGCGCGGCGTTCCCCGAGCGTGTTTTTCTTCAGATTCAGGCGAGTTTGCTTGCATGGCGTTCGCCCCCCCCCCCCCCCCCTTTGGCCTCCCCCCCCCCTTCAGCGCCTTTCGACTTGCGTGATTTCCGCACGTCAAGTCGTTTGCGGCCCGCTTCAGGTTCAGCGCCCCCCCCCCCCGTCCATGCAAGTAAGCCTGCCAGAGTCTAAAAGAAAAGCGGGCTCCCCCTCGGGGGGCGCGGTCTCTCTGGGGGCAGCGGGGCGCTCCCTCGGAGGGGCCTCGCCGTGGGGGATCGGAGGGGCGCTGCCATCGCGTAACCCTCGGGCAGGCGGAGGGCGGGGCCCCAGAGATCCGACGCTGCGAGAAAACTGGAGCGGCGGGAGTTTGACAGTTCTCGACCTCCCAGGGGCCTCGCCGGGCCTCGGGAGCGTGGACGAAAAACAGGCCCAGGGGAAGCGGTCTGGACCTCCGGGGGCCCACGCATCGAGCAAAAATCGGAGCGGCCGAGTGTCTGGGGCGGAAGCAGACGGAAGTGGCATGGCCGTCCTCCTGCTGGAGGGCGCGCAGAGGCGGGGCTGGGGCACGAGGATGCCCGCCTGCCTTTGCTCGCTCTTCGTCGGGCTTCTGGTCGAGCATGGTGCCTCTATACCAGCGCCGTCCGCAGGGTGGTTCAGAGCCCAACGCGAAACCTCCTGCGCCGAACGATCATCTGGAGTAGTGCGCCTGGTGGGAAGTAAGACGGCAGCGGCTCCGCGGGCGAGAGCCCATGGAAGGCCAGCGGAACGGCGGCAGTAAAAGATGCGCCCCCAAGTAATGGCAGCTTTTTTGGATTCAGTGTTTGCGGAACCCGCCAAGTGAGTACGGAAACAATCACTACCCACTACACAACCCAAACCCAACCCGAAGGCTCCAAGTTACCCTCCATTCCGAGTGGGGGGGGCATCCCCGAACATTGAAAATGTTCAAATGAAACCCATACGCCCCCCAACCCGAAATTTGGGATTTCGGGTTGGGTTGGTGTGGTCTGGTGGGTAGTCACACTGGGCACGTAAACGACGAGTGCAAAGACCAATAGCGGCTCTTGTCCATGAGGCAGCTTTTTGTACCCTCTGGCGATACCAGACGTGACCAGGGGGGGGGGAGGAGGGGGGCGGTCGACCATGAGGGGATACCGGCATCCAAACTTATACGCCTCATTCCTCCTCTCTCCTCCTCCTCCTCCTCCTCCTCCTCCTCCTCCTCCTCCTCCTCCTCCTCCTCCTCCTCCTCCTCTTCATCTCCCGCCCTCCTCATAATTGTCCTCCCCCTCTTACGGTTTTCGGGATTCCTGGTCGCCTGGGCTGTGGACTCCTGGGCCACTGGAAATTAACAAAATCACACGGCTCTGTTCCTTGGGGGAATTCTGGGGGGTCCAGGATTTTCGTGTTTCCTGGTCGCCCGAGCTGCGGACTCCCAGGCCAATGATAATCAAATCAAGCTCAAGTGACTTTATGTGTTCTGTTTGTTTTATTGATTGAAATGCTGAAGCTCTGGGGGGTCCAGGATTTTAGGGGATTCATGGTCTCATTGGCTGCGGACTCCTGGCCCGTGGAAGTTTCAATGGTTTACACTTTAGGGTCTGGGCTTTTCGGGATTCCTGGTCGCCTGGGCTTCAGGATCCTCCAATCTCATCGAACCCTCCCTCCTCTTCTTTCCAGCCCCCTCATTCTTCTCCCACCCAATCCTCCGCTTCCTCCTCCCTCACTCAGGGGGAGGAGGATAAGATGGAGAGAGGAGGAGAGGTGGAGGAGGCTGAGATAGGAGGAGTACGAGGGATGTAGAGGAGGAGGGGTGGGCGAGGATGATAGGATGATGAGGACGAGGACGAGGAGGAGGATAAGGCGGAAACTGTACAGATGCGTGCAAGAGAGGATGCTGGGGAGGACGATGATGATGATGATGATGATGATGATGATGATGATGATGATGATGATGATGTTATTGATGTTGGTGATGATGATGATGATGATGATGATGATGATGATGATGATGATGCTAGTGATGGTGATGGTGATGGTGATGATGGTGATGCTGCTGCTGCTGATGATGATGATGATGATGACGAGGACGATGTCGATGTCGATAACGATGACTATGACGGTGTCGATGACGACGATGATGATGGTGATGATGGTAATGATGGTGATGACGGTGATGGCGATGTTGACGAGCATGACGATGTTCTGGATGATAACGAGTATGATGATGGTGGTCCTATTTTCTATGTCGTTCGTAATGGTGGTGATGCTAGTGATGGTGTCGGTGATGATGATGATGCTACTGATGATGGTGATGATGACGATGTTGCTGGTGATGGTGATGCTGAGGATGCTGCTGCTGATGATGATTTTGATGATTAGTATGATGAACACGATTACGATTATGGTGTTGATGATGGTAATGGTGGTGATGATGCTGATGCTGCTGCTGATGATGATGATGCTGATGATGAAGATCAGTATGAGGAGTCCGGCGATGATGATGATGCTCATGGTGATTATGCTGCCGATGCTGCTGATGATGCTGATCATGATGGTGATCATGATGCTGATGCACTGATGATGATGCTGCTGCTGATGACGAGATGATGATGATGGTGGTGATGATAATGATGATGGTGACGGTGATAATGATGATGGTAGTGATGAACCCAGGGGGAGCATACGACGCTTGCGGCGGGGGGGGGGGGGTCGGGGAGTTCATCTGTTTAATGAAAATGAATATTTCGAATGTCTGTGGGGTCAGGGTTCTTCGGGGCTCCTGGTCGCCCAGATTTCTCCTCTCCTACTCCTCCTGCTGCTCCTCTCACTTGGCACGCGTCGCAGACGCGTCGAGCTCTCGCTTCCACTGCGGCTCCTGAAAAGTTGAAGCGGAGAAGAGGAGGAGAGGATGAGGAGGAGAGGACGGGGGATAAGGACGAGGAGACGAATGAAGAGGATCAGGACGAGGATGAGGTGTTCGGAGGAGGAGGAGGAGGAGGAGGAGGAGGAGGAGGAGGAGGAGAGGAGGTCTTCGCAGGAGGAGGAGGAGGAGGAGGAGGAGGAGGAGGAGGAGGAGGAGGAGGAGGAGGAGGAGGAGGAGGAGGAGGAGGAGGGTGTCTTCGCAGGAAGAGGAGGAGGAGGAGGAGGAGGAGGAGGAGGAGGAGGAGGAGGAGGAGGAGGCAGAGGAAGAGGAGGGAGGAAGACGACGACGGAAGTCGACCCTGAGCCCGTCGCGAGCTTTTTCCTTGGCGACGGTTGGAACCTTTCCCCTCTCTCTCTCTCTCGCATGCCAGCGTTCAGTGGGCCGCGCCGCGTGTCGCTCGCTTCCCTGGTAAAGAGTAGACCGTCCGTAACATCTCGATGTTAGTACTGCATGTATTCTAAAATAAACAACTTGTCATACATCAGAGATCCGAGGGCTGGGGTTCTACCAAGATTCGGGGCTCAAGAGACGGGGGTCAGCGCAAACGGGGGTCAGTCAGAGCGCCGGATCTTGCAGCAGGATCCTGCAGGGCCAGGGGTGCACTGACCTGGATTCGGGTGCAGGTTCTTGCAGGATCCTGCAGGATCCTGCAAGGCCTGACTGACCCGAGTCTGGATTGACCTGGGACAGTAGATCCCCGTAATATACCCCCCTTGCACGTTTCCGGACACCACCACCCCAGGGCTGAAACTGGCCTCCATGGAGAACTCCAAGAGGACCCAAGCGGAGACGCCGAGATGCTGCCAACTCGGTCCAAGAGAGCCCTAGAGGCCTCCTCGTGCGTTGCCAGGTTCCCCCCCAGGGCTGGCCCTGGTCTCCATGGAGAGCTCCAAGATGACCCGAGCGGACGCCGACATGCTGCCAAGACGGTCCAAGAGAGCCCAAAGGCTTTTACGTGGCCCCAAGACGACCCCAACTGAACGCACGGACCGCAGGAGCGGCTCCACTAGGGCCCGCGAGAGGGCTTCCAGAGGGAAGAAACAGATCTCTTTCGACCTTTCGGGGGGTTCCAGTATGTTCGCCACAGCACGACAGCAGTCCAACAGCGAGCCCACAGTCTTGCGCCCCCCAAATGTGGCTGGTGCATAAATTTTGGTTCGATTCCTTTCCCTCTTTCTCTTCCCGCTCTTGTTTCTGTTTCTACTCCGCCCCTCCTCGTCCTGCTGCTGCGGCTCATCATCGTCGTCCTCGTCCTCCTTTCCCCATGTGCGTGCTTCTCGATTGTCCGTCGCGCCTTTCCACCAAGACTTCGTCCAACGTCTTTGCATGGGTTCTGTTCCCGGTGGGCACTCTTGCTTTTGGTACAGCAGGCGAAGGGGAGAAATGTTGCAAGTGCATCTGTGGATCATCTCCGCAGCTACATTCGAGTGGGCGAAGCAAAAGGTTTCAACGCACTGTTCAGGGCTAGCGAAAAGCACAAGGTCATATGTGGCGCGCGAGTCTCCATTGTCTCCCCCTCTCTCTCGCCCGAGGGCTTCGCATCCAGAGCCCCGTTGCGCCCCGGTTCTCCACTTCTTCATGCATCCGTCCCGACTAGGAGATGGAAGGAGAGGAGGAGGCGGGGATGGAGGGAGGAGGAGGAGGAGGAAGGGGATGAGGAGGGCTTGTACGCAGGGCGTAAGGAAAATAAGGATCAGGAAGAGCAGCAGGAGGAAGGCAGGGAGGAGGAGAAGGAGGAGGAGGAGGAGGAGGAGGAGGAGGGACGATGACGGGGAACAGAGAGAAAGTGAGAGCGGGGGGAGGAGAGGGAGGATGAGAACGAGGAGGAGGAGGGGGAGGAAGAGGAAGTAGAGAGGGGACTTGGACGAGGCATCGCTGTCCGGCTCCGACCTCTCGCTCTGTTTATCATGCTTGCCCCTTGCTGCTTATATCTAGGATGTCGCTGCAGTTGCTACTGCTCCTCTTCGTCCTTACCCTGCGCCTCTCAACCATCCTTCGTAGTCGTACGCAACGATGCTCTAAGCTGCGACTCTGCTGAGGTGTATCCGCAGCGTGATGTGTATGGGATGCGCCCATGTCCGTTCATTGTTTCATTGTTGTGGGGTTGGCCTATGGTGCAACAGAGCTCAAGCGCGCGCGAAGCCCGCGCGTGTGTTTCTGGCCAGAGGAACAAATCCACGAAGCCCCAGGAGATAAAAGGGGGCACCAGGAGGCACCAGGCGGTCCCAGATGGTCCAAGGAAGCCCCGGGCGGCTCCAGGAGGTCCCTGGATGTTCCAGGAGGCCCCAGGAGGCCACAGGAGGCCTCACGGGGGCTCCGGGAGGCAGGAGGCTCCAGGAGGCACCGCGAGGCACCATGAGGCCCCAGGAGGCCCCAGCAGGCCCCAGAAGGCCGCAGAGGGACTCAGGCGGCTCCAGGAGACCCCAGGACAGGAGTTTTCAGGAGGCCTCAGGAGGCACCAGAAATCCACAAGATGTCACAGGAGGCCCCAGAAGGTCCCAGGAGGCATCCCCAAGGGGGATACCTGTATCCCCCTCCTGGTGGACTCGACGGGAGGGGGGGAGAGGACGAGGCCAGTCACGTCTCGAATCGTGCCCGGGCTGTGTGGTAATGCTATGGTTTTTTTCATTCCCAGACGGCGCCGGCGCGAATCGCGACGTGATCACGGGGGGAGTGGTGGGGTTGCAGGGCTGGTCACAAGCGTTATCAGTAAAAAACTGCTTCCGTTTTGAACAGGAATCTTGTTGTCGGTGTCGCTGCGGACGACGTGCATTTGAGACAGAAGTCGCCTGCCCAACAGTGGCCGCTGTCGGTTTGGGACGACATTTGCTGTTGGACATCGTACCCATTCGGGCGTCCAGCAATTCACGGTCCTAGTGTACGTGACCGAATCATATGGTTACACGCGAAAGGGTTGCACGTAGCCAGAGCGCGAAACATATTGTCACGAACGGCCCTTAACACATTAGAGTTATCAAAATGCAGCGAACACCCCCGTATCCAGCATCTTCCTGGGGAACGCTTCGCGCAACCAAGTCGTACCCATACCCGCAAGTTTCGCAACCAAGCCATCATCATAATTTGAAATCACATCGTAGCCGAAACTTAACCCAAACGTGCTCGCATCTGGACCAACTCGCAACCGAATCGCACGTGTATCGTAGCGAGCACGTTCGGCATTGCCCATGGGACTGAAGAAACGGGGCCTGCGGAAAAAAGTCGGCGAGGATGGCGACGAATAGGAGAGTGCGGATGACAACAAGGGACGAGCGAGAGCAGAACAGGGGTTCTGGGGAAGGACGACCACGCGGAGGGCGACGAGGAACACCTCGAGCGACAAAGAGGGAAAAGTATAGATGAGGAGGAAGAGGCGGAGGAGGACGGAAGAGACGCCGAGCAGCATCAATAGGAGATGGAGAAGGGCTGAAACACACGGAGGCCAGAGCGTTACAAGTTTCTCGGTGCGCCGCGAACGTGTTGATCACATCGTAACCAATCCAGAACCATATGGGATCGCAGCCACATCGTAACCGTATCTGACGCACCGTACCCAAGTCGCAGCCTCATTCCACCTTCTCAGAACCAAATCAGAAGGCGACCACTACAAGACGACGATTGGTTACGGGCGTGTGGGCAACAAACCATTGTAAGTCACAGTAGCTTGCGCTCGTGAATAGGTTATTGTGAAGGCCTGACGTCTGGCGCCGCCGACCCTGAAGGCGGGACCTCCCCCAGGACCCCCGCTGCCCCCCCCCCCCGGACCCGCCTGAGCCCCGGGAGGGCGGGAGAGGGGGGGCGGCATTCTGACCGGGGACCACCCTCCCCCCACCACAGGCGGGACCTCCCCCGGGGACCCCCCTCCAGGACCCCCCCCAGACTGGGATTCCCCCCCCCTTTGTCCTCCCTGTCCACGGGGGGGCCCTGGGAGGGGAGGGTGGGCCGCCGGGACCCCATGGGGGAGGCGGTAACCAGACCCGGGACCCCCCCCCCCACCCCCCTCCCGTACCCCCCTCCGTACCCCACCGTACACCCCCCCCCCGCTCTTCAGGGAGGAGAATAAGGGGCGGGGATCGACTGAATTGCGACGTTTCTTTTCTTCGTTCGTTCCTGAATGTCCGTGGGAGTGGCGACGACGACGACGACCACGACCACGACCACGATGACGACGAAGATGACGACGAAGACGACGACGAAGACGAAGACGAAGATGACGACGACAGTGTCTTGCACCCGCCGAAGGGTCGGCGGTTTATGTTTTGTCTTTCGATTCTAGGTGACGGAAGGTTTTTGACAGTTTTTAGCCTCTTGAGGCCCTCGTTTGGCCCCAGGGCCGTCAAATTTGCTTGGCGAGAGATCCAGCCATATGCAGCTGCGAGTATCGCGAGGCAGGCGAGACGACGGAGGGGGGCACAGAAGGTGTGAGAGGTGTGCCGACAATGTGCGGCGCGGACGCATGCAAACGTCGCCATTAGGGCCTTCGGTTGAGCTCCGTGTGGGGTCACGAAGCGTGTGAGAGGTGCTCCGACATGTGCGGCGCGGACGCATGCGAACCTCGCCACTGGGGCCTCCTGTGAGGCCACGAAGCGTGTGAGGGGTGCGCCAGAATGTGCGGCGCGGACGCATGCGAAACTCGCCACTGAGCGCGGGGGGTCAGCATCGTCTCGCCGATCCCCACAGGGTCACCCGCCCAGGAGGGGGTAGGTCCAGCCATCATTCTGCCAAGTCTGCATGTGATCTTGGGTTGATGTTTATACGTATGTGTCACTGTCGCTGTTGCTGTCTCTCTTTCTCTCTCTATTGATCTGTCTGTCTTTCTCTCCCTCTCTCTCTCTTGCTCTCCACCCCTCTCTCACGTTTTGTCAAGGCGACAGGTGCAAGCTCATAGGTATATTTGCCTGCATCGCTCTCTCTCTCTCTCACTCTCTCACTCAAGCTTTGTTGTCGTGAGGTCTGAGGTTCCTGAGACACCATGAGGGCTCGGATACCATCAACACGGCAGAGCCTGATTAGCCGTTGTGGGACTCCATATTCTTTGCCCAGTGATAATCTCATCTGCGCGCTCACCGTGCCTGCCCTCGGTAGCTCAACGGCCCCAGGTCCGGAAGCTGGAGAGGCAGAGGGCGGAATTGGTAGCCGCCTTCAAGAAGCAAATGAAGCTCATCGAGGCCTGCTGGGTGGGAGCTGGCGTAAGCGCAATGACAGCTCCGCCACAGTTTTACAAGGGGCAGCCGCAGCTGTGCGGCCCAGCCCGGCTGTTGCTGCTGGTTCAGGGCGCAGGATTCTTTTGATGCCATTTTGAAAATAATAGGGGAACGAAGAATGACATAAACATATATAACGGAGGTCCGCGCGGATTTCTTGGATCCGCGCTGAACCCCCTCCCTGGCCCGCGGAGCGCGACAGGGGCGGCACCAGAGGCACCGCCTGGGGAGTACAGTGCGGATCCAAGAAATCCGCGCGGACCTTCGAGTTTTTACCTAACAGCGAAGACTGATAGGTTTCTAGTGGTGTCAAAAGAGAGCATCTGATGACTCAGAAGGGAGGTCTGGGCGGCATCCGGACAGCGAGGGCCGGGCTCAGGGCCGAGCTCGTTTTAAGCAAACAGTCACACACTTCGTGCTCTTCGACCTCCCAGAACTCCATTCCCGGGCCACATTTTGAATGCCCGGAGCCAACTGTAGGCCATTTCGTGTTCTTCGTGTTCCCAGGACGCCATTCCCGGGCCACATTTTGAATGCCCGGAGCCAACTGTAGGCCACGTCGTGTTCTTCGTGTTCCCAGAACACCATTCCCAAACCACATTTTGAATGCCCGGAGCCAACTGTAGGCCACTTCGTGTTCTTCGTGTTCCCAGAACACAATTCCTGGGCCACATTTTGATTGCCCGGAGACATCTGTGAGGCTGAGGCTGAGGCAGGCTGAGGCTGAGGCAGGCTGAGACTGAGCCTGAGGCAGGCTGAGGCTGAGGCTGAGGCTGATGCAGGCTGAGGCTGAGAGGCTGACGCTGAGGCTGAGAGGCACGCTGAGGCTGAGGCTGAGGCCAAGGCAGCTGAGGCTGAGGCTGAGGCAAGCCGAGGCAGGCTGAGGCTGAGGGCTGAGGCTGAGGGCTGAGGCTGCTGAGGCTGAGGCTGAGGCTGAGGCTGAGGCTGAGGCCTGAGGCAGGCTGAGGCTGAGGCTGAGGCGAGGCGACCCCCCGCAGGCTGAGGCTGAGGCTGAAGCTGAGGCAGGCTGAGGCTGAGGCTGTGCCTGAGGCTGAGGCTGAGCTGAGGCTGATGCAGGCTGAGGCTGAGGCAGGCTGAGGCTGAGGAGGCTGAGGCTGAGGCTGAGGCTGAGGCTGAGGCTGACGCTGCTGAGGCTGAGGCTGAGGCTGAAGGCTGAGGCTGAGCTGCTGAGGCAGGCTGAGGCAGCTGAGGCTGAGCTGCTGAGGCTGAGGCTGAGGCAGGCTGAGGCTGAGGCTGATGCAGGCTGAGGCTGAGGCAGGCTGAGGCTGAGGCAGGCTGAGGCTGAGGCTGAGGCGAGGCAGGCTGAGGCTGAGGCCGAGGCAGCCGAGGCTGAGGCTGAGCTGAGGAGGCTGAAGCTGAGGCAGGCTGAGGCTGAGGCTGAGGCTGTGGCTGAGACAAGCTGCGGCTGAGGCAGGCTGAGGCTGAGGCTGAGGCAGGCTGAGGCTGAGGCAGGCTGAGGCTGAGGCTGATGCAGGCTGAGGCTGAGGCTGAGGCCGAGGCAGGCTGAGGCTGAGGCCGAGGCAAGCCGAGGCAGGCTGAGGCTGCGACCGCGAGAACAGCAGAATTCTACAATTGGATTCTCACCTAAATCTTAAGGGGAATGCTTCCAGGTATGCTTCTACACATCGCTGTTAGGTTGCTTTGCTGGGATACTTTCTGTTTATATCATTATTCGTTCCTCTAAGCAGTGGAGCTACCCCAAGAGTGGACCTGACAGAACACGGAGATGTCTGGAAGTCCTGGCACATCGAGGTCCTAGGCCAGAGGAGGAGTCTACTTGCGGGCAACCTTCCAGAGCTTCTCTACGACTCGGGGGTCTCCACCTCCTCCTTCCCCTCCTTCTCCTCCTCCTCCTTCTCCTCCTCCTCCTCCTCCTCCTCGTCCTCCTCGTCCCCCCTCTTCCCCCTCCCCCCCCTCCTCCTCCCCCTCCCCCTTCTCCTCCTCCTCTTCCTCCTCCCTCAAGCACAGGGGAGCGGCGCGCCGTAGCAACCTCTTTGGGCTCTCGGATGTTGCACCGCTCCTCTGCCTCCCGCCTCCTCGCGGCGCTTGAGGGACACCTTCGCGTTGAATCTGGTCTACCGGCATTCAAGCAGGGTTGACGAAGGGGGGTCTAATTCAATTTCATGTATTTGTTCTCCTTGTTCGTGCAGGTGCTAGGTCGGGTCCAATCGGTTTTCGACTGGTTCCTCGGGCTGCTGCACCTTGTCTTGAATTCGTTCATCAAGTGTGTTCTATGGTGCATGGGGTGCCGCGGGCTGCGAGCCCACTTAATTTCCCCTTTTACAGTATTTGGGGTGCCGCGGGCTTCGAGCTCACTTAAAATCCCCATCGCAGCTGTGGAATTTCGCACATTCGGTGATTATTTTATTGTACTGTGAGGCGCGTTTCTGTTCGCAGGGGCGAGGCTGGCTGTGGAGGAGATAATCCTTATTCTTTCGAGATGGGTGGGGTTGCCTGACAATGCTCGAGGTGGTGGCCGCTTGGAGTTATGCTCCGCGCTTTCATGCTCGGGCAGGGCCTTATTGGATTGAATTCATACCATCTTAACCCGTTGCTCTCCGAATGGGCCGTGTTGTTTCCAACCACGGTAACTTTATGCTACTGTTGCCAGTCGAGGTCCTGTGTGAAAGCTCTGGTGATGGGGTATTATGTCCTCCTCTACATCTTCCACTTGTTCTTCGTCCTCTGAGTGGCGGCAGTTTCGGTCTCAGAATATCACATCGTGATGGCGTCCACTCCACTCCACTCCTCTTCCTCCTCCCCCTCCCCCTTCTCCTCCTCCTCTTCCTCCTCCTCTTCCTCCTCCTCCTCCTCCTCCTCCTCCTCATCCTGCTCCTCCTCCTCCTCCTCTTCTTCCTCCTCGTCCTGATTCCTCCAGAGGCTAGCGTCGAACCCCGGGGGAACGTATCGGGATCGTCCTCCTTCGTCCGCGCTCTTCCCGTCAGTCTTCCTAATCCTCGTGTTCCCCACGCTCCTTCGTGGCACGAGGTGCCCGCGACAAGCTGGGGAGCGACGGGGGCTTTTCATAAAATCTACACGCTCGTGGAGCGGGAGAAGGAAGGACAATAACAACACGGATGAGCCGGGGATGTCAATGAACGCGCGGATTGAGGAGGGAGGGGTGAAAAGGAGAATGGATGACGAGGGTGACGACAATGATGATGCGCATGAGAGGGAGAAGTGGAGCACGTTGAGGAGGACGAGGTGGAGTAGGAGGACGAAATGGAGGTGCTTCCCACGTGCAGCGCTCCCCCCCGCCCCCCCTCCTTCGTCCTCTGCAAGTCAACAGGCTGCTCTGTTGTGGCCCGGTCTTGTCCGGGGAGAGGAGGAGAGACGGCAGAGGGGAGCGGCAGAGCGGCAGCCGCAGCCTGCTGGAGGAGGAGGGCGAACCACGCCGTCCACGCCGTCCTCCTCCTCCTCCTCCTCCTCCTCCACCTCCTCCTCGTCTTCCTCCTCCTTGTCTTCCTCCTCCTCCTCCTCTTCCTCCTCCTCTTCCTCCACTTTCTCCTCCTCATCTTCCTCCTCCTTCTCCTCCTCCTCCTCCTCCTCCTCATCATCATCATCCTTCTCCTCCGGCGCCCTTTTCGAAGGACTCTCTGGATTCTCTTGGGGCCCCTCGGAGAGCTGGAAACTACCGAGTACACAGTCGTAATTAGCCTTCTCGGCCGTCTTCAGGGACCTCTTGAGCAGTCTCGGGGGCTGCAGGGGCTTCTTGAAGGCCTCTCGGGGGCGTCCTGATTCACCTAAGGGGTCCATTGGGCTGTCTTGGGGGGGTCTCTCAGGGGCCACTTGGGCGGTTTTGAGGTTTTCCGGGGGCTTCTTTGGGGCTCCCTGGGAACGAGACGGGATTGGTCGACGAACCCGCCGCGTCCACGGGGGCAGTTGTTGGATGCCACGTACCGGGCCCGTCGCCCGCAGTTCGCACGAGGGGGTCCTGCGAGCTGGTTCCGCGCTGTGCCACGCGCCCGAGAGCAGTTGGAGTCTCCGCTGGGCGAGCCCTGTCGTGCTGTCACAGTGCTCCCCCTGCTGCCTCCAGGCGTCGCAAAATATGTACTCCAGATTTCGTCATAAAGGGAAGGGGGTCTGGACCCTCCAAGACAAACCATTTCAGACCTCCCCCGTGGGAGAGCCCTCCAAAACATCGTCCCCGGACCCCCCAGGCCCTCCAAGATAGCCTGGAAGAGACCCCCCCCCGAAATGAGACCCCCCTCCCTTTCTTACGAAATCTGGAGTAGATGGACGCTCGCAGCCTGTGGTGACAGACCGACCGCACCCGTCCGAGAGCGCCAGGGGCCCACGCCATAACTACGGCGGAGTTTGGGATCTCGGCAGGTGTGGCTGCGCGTCGGAGTGGTCCTTGGCCGAGGTGACCCTCGGTGCGGGCCCACCGGGGTCCCCCGATCGCCAGGTGCGGTGCGATATACGTAGCAGCGGGTTGGCCCCCTTGGCCCCCCTGAGGCCGCGCACGAGAGGTCGACCTTGCCCAGGGTCAACAGCCCTTGCGTGCAGCCGACAGGCTGTGGCCTCCCCCCCTTTCGCTGCAGTGCAGACCCAGACCCCCCAGAGGTTTCAGCCTATTTCCCGGGACCAGTTTTTCATCCCGAGTCGTTTTTTGACGGTCCCGAGACCAAGGAAGGGCCCCCAGAGGCCGAAAATGGCCAAAAACCTCCCGTCGTGATTTTTGTCATTGCTCGAGGGGGTCTGGGCGCGAGGCGGGGGAGGAGGCGGAGAAGGAGGAGGAGGAGAAGGAGGGGGAAAAGGAGGAGGAGGAGGAGGAGGCGGAGGAGGAGGAGGAGGAGGGAGGAGGAGGAGAGGAGGAGATGGAGGAGGAGGAGGATGAGGAGGAGGAGGAGGAGGAGGAGGAGGAGGAGGAGGAGGAGGAGGAGGAGGAGGAGGAGGAGATGGAGGAGGAGGAGGAGGAGGAGGAGGAGGAGGAGGAGGAGGGGGGGGCCTGCTCGTGGCCGAGGCCTCGCCGTGGCCAGAGGAGTGAGGGCCTCTCGCTCCTTCTCCTGGCGCCCCTTTGTGTGGCGGCGCGGTGGCTGCATTCCCCCCACGGCCCTCCCCGGCCAGAAGGGGGCGCCTGCCACGCAGTCCAGGGGCTCGGGAAGGGCTATACGGGCCAGGGCTGATGGTGGTGTGGCTGCCCGTCCACCATCTTCCCCCGCCCCCCCCACCAGACGCAGTTCACACCGAGCGCGTTCCACCACTCGCAAGAGGTGCCTCCTCGCAAACGCCAGAACACAGACCTTCTTCGTGTCAGAATGGGTCCTAAATCCCCCGCGGCGCATCCAGGCCTTCTGCGAGAACGCTACTTTGCGAGTAGTGAAACGCGCTTGTCTGGGGCAGTTCCGTCCTTCCTTCTGCCCTGCCTCTCGGAGGTCCCCATCGCCCTGCGGCAAACGGGTCCCAAAAGTCTTCGGCTGCTCTTGTGGCGCGCTGCGCTCGACCACGGGCCCAGGCGCGGCCAAGTGCCCCCCCCCCCCCAAAAAAAAAAGCACGGCTCGTGGGAGGAGAAGGGAGGAGATGGCCCCCCAAACAACAAAAAAAAACACGGCTCCTGGGAGGAGAGGAGATGGTCTTGAGGCGAAGGTCCGGCGGTCCAGGACCCGCTGCCCTCGGGGCCCGTGCCCTCCGTGGCAACTGCCTGCCTCTCCCAGACCCCCGACCTTCGTGATCTGTTCCTTGCGTCGACCCCCCCGAGGTCTCGACCTCTTCCTCGCGACCGGTGTTTCATCCCGAGTCGTTTTCGGACGGTCCCGAGGCCCGGCAAGGGCCCCCCGGGGCCAAAAACTGCGAAAAGCCTCCCGTCGTGATTTTTTCGCTACTCGAGGGGGTCTGGGGAGAGAGGCCCCACCCATGGGAAGTCGATCCGCGAAATGTCGTGTCTCGGTTCGCGAGAGAGAGAGAGGGAGAGAGAGCAAGAGAGAGAGAGGGAGAGAGAAAGAGAGAGAGAGAGAGAGAGGGAGGGAGAGAGAGAAAGAGAGCGAGAGAGAGAGAGAAAGAGAGAGAGAGAGGCTGTCGCGGCCGCCGCCTCTGCGGGCGCCTGCGCCCCCGGGGCCCCTGCCCCCAGGCAGTGCTGCATGGAGGGGGGCAGTTTTGCATGGAGGGGCGCTCCGTCGGGTCTCCTGGCTTCACCCCTTCCTCCCTCTCTGCTGAGCGTCGTCGCCCATTCACCCCCCCTGTGTCGAAGAAGAAGAAGAAGAAGAAGAAGAAGAAGAAGAAGACAAGCCGCCACAAACATAAACTTTTGGCGCTCCGGGCGAATTTCTTGGATCGGCGCCTGGGGCCCCCGGCGCGCTCCGCGCCAGGGAGGGGGGTCCAGCGCAGATCCCTGAAATCCACGCGGAGCGGCAACAGTGTATGTTTGTGGCGTTTTTTCTTGTTCTACTGTGTCCCACCCGTACCTCGCCTTGAATTGTAGTGGGTGTGCTGACCTCTGGGGCCTCCGGCTGCGAACAGGTCGCGGCCATGATCCTTGTTTGCTTGATCTCTTCCCTCGCTCTCTTTCTCTCTCCTCTCTCCGTCCTCTCTGCCACCTAGGGCTCGATAGAATTGCGGGCGCATGTTCTATCGCTTTGCTCGCCCCTGTCGGATGCTGCCTGGTGTTCGCGGTCCTCCCTCCCTCCCCTCCTCGCTCCTCCCTCCTGGCTTGCCGTAGTGCGCTGTTTTGCTTTGATTGCATAGGTGGCATTTTGGACAGCAGGGGATGATCGCATGGCGACCTTGCCCCTTCTCTTCTCCTGCTGCTGCCTCCTGCTGCTGCTCCTACCTTGTCCTCTGCACGGATCTCACTCTGCCCTCCTGCATGGTTTGTGCCTGCTGTTGGCTTTCGCGTGTTCTTTCAGACACGGACAAACAACACAACACACACAACCTCGTGTCCCACCCCCTCCATTTGTCCAGCTTCTCCATTTGGCCTTGCGTAAGCATTGTCCAGTCGAGATTGTAGTCCTAGTCTTGGTGTGTGCTAGACTTGTTCGCTTGTGCTGTGCACTTCCGTGTCAGAGCGATCTTGTGTTGCCTTGCCGTCCCTCCTTCCGCTCCTCGTCGATCCCTCTACTCTAACACCTTGTTGTCTATCCGATTGGCCCCCTCCGCCATCACCCCCCCTCCCTCCCTCCATCCCTCAGTCTGTCCTGATGCGCCCCCCTCGGTCTCCTGCCTCGCCTTGCCCGAGCCGCGGAAGAGGTGCTGAAGAGGCAGCGGGCGCACATGGAGGCCGCCAAGGTGCTGTCCTTCACGGAGGACGAGTTCATAGCCCGGGCTGGCGCCCAGGCCGCCTCAGCAAGGGACCGAGGCCCCATTTAATTAGAGGGTCGAGGGCACAGGCACGAGGAGGGGGCCACCGGCCGTCCCTCGTGAGGTTTTGCTCGTGGAGGGCAACGCTTCTCGCACCACGCCTCACCACCGTGCTGAGCTGTGCCGTGTCCGCGGTCCGACGGCCGCAGCGAGCAAGTGGAGCCGCCCACCAGGCGACGCGGCTGCTCCGTGCCGAAGTGCGGAAGCGCTCACCACCACGCCCCCCCCCCCCCCGACCGCTGAGCCGAGGCAGGGGGGAGCCCGCGCGGCAGTTCCCCTGCCAGTTCCCCAAGTGCTTTGTGCAATTCCCTTCCCCCCGCGCGCGGCCGCCCTCGTCTTATATTCCTTGCTCCCTCTTGCACGCCATATGATTCGCCTTTCGGTTGCCCCGAATGGCCACACGCTGGAGCGGAGTGCCTCCTGACTCGCCGCCGACGGAACACAGTTGTATTCATTCCCGACGATGCCTCATCGTTTCACCACTCCCCTTTTGATGCTCCTGCTCCTGCTCTTCTCTCCGACACCGGAGTAAGTATTACCTGTCGATGACAACGTCCCAAGCATTAGCGATCTCACGCGCACGCGTTCACATTGTCACGGATGTGATGCCCATCGCCCCGCCGCCGTGGGCATGTTTTGGGGCATGCTTGGTTGCTCGTGTTTGTTAGTTCCCGCTAGTGTGGTGTGGTGTGCTCTATTCGGCCGTGCAGTCGACCTGGCCAAGAACTGTGAGCGCACACCCCCCAGTCATCAACTGCACGGCGCCACCCCAGTTCCCCGATTGACGACAGGCACCCCTGCACGGGTAAGGTCCTCGGGGTCTTGGCACTGTGATCGTGCATTGCGTTTGCCGGGTCGAGCTTGTGCTGATTAATCCTTAGCCGTCTGATGATCCAACCTACTTTAGCCTTGACCACCAGAAAGAATTTCGAGCACCAAGAAAGTACCGAAGCTGGAGGATCTTCGCATGCCGGGCCCTGCGAGGCGATACACCGATTCGACACTGCTTCGATACTCTTTTGGGTGCCCGGAGTCAGTTCTGGGACGTGGTCTTTCTTACGTACGATGTGGGCAGCGTGACCTCGGCCGCGGTTGCCTCGCCCCCCCCCCCTGCGAGTAGAGAGGGGATCTACGCCATGGTAAGGGATGGGAGGGAGGGGTAGGATGTCAGATCTGACGCGAGCGCACCTAGCTTGTCCCCCCCCTCCCCTCGGACGACGACCGCGACAGACCGACGCCGACCCTGGCCGGGGCCACCCTGCGGCCCACGATCGGTGCGCACGCCGTCGTGGCCAGGCCAGGCGGCCCGGAAGACGCTCACAGCGCCCCATGGCCCAAACAATTCATCGCTCGCGCCCAAGATGGCGACTGCGAACATAAATCTGACCCCGCCGGCGGCGTTTCGCGTGTTTATTCACATCAATATCTTGCGTTTGAGTTCGAGGAGGGTTGTGGGCTCGCTCACGATATGGCCTGGTCAAAAATCGGTGTCGGTCTAAAGTGGTCATCTTTCTGTCTACCCTTTTTCTTCCAGTGCTGTTTAGCGGCGTTCGGAAGTTGGCTGACGGACGTCCAGCCCTCCCGGAAGTCCCGAGATCTCTTCCGCTGGGTTCCCACACCAGGCTCTTCCCAAGGTGCCCCAGACCTTTCAGGGCCCACTGCGAGGGCAGGGCAGCAGGAGGAGGAGGAGGAGGAGGAGGAGCACGGGCGGTGGAGGAGGGACGCAGGAAAGGCCCCTTTGGCAGAACACCCTGGCCTGTTCCTCGAGCCCGTCATCCTGACATCATCCCGAGCCTGAGCGGCCAGAGAAGGCAGAGAGGGGAGAGCGACCCTGCGCCGGAGGAGCCTCTGGTGCGCGGCTCCCGGGGGCGTTTGGGCGGGGGGTGAAGCCCAAGCAGCGCCCCACCTCAGGCAACGATCGGCCAGCCGCGCCTTCGGAGGGGCGCCCTTGCCTTGGGGTCATTCTTGCGTGCAGCCGAGAGGGAGGATCATCAGAGCGTGAATTACCTACCCCGCTTTCGCTTCCAGGCAAAACCAAGTCATACCACGCGCCTCCTCGTCAAGCGGCCTGACCAATACAGGCCGTAGTTTGGCATCGTTTGGTATCTCTTGGAAGCGAGGGTGGTCAAAAGCGAGGTAGGTTTGTTTTCCCCCTAGATCAGGGGCAACAACAGGGGGGGGGGGAGGGGGGCGGGGGGGTCTCAGAGGAGGGGGGGCGGGGCCACCCCTCTGCGGGCGGCTCCACGACCTGGAGGCGAGACAGGAGGCTCCGGCGCCTCCCTGACTGCCAGCATTTTTATTCCCCAACCATGCTGTGGTGTCGGGTCCTCGTTTTGAAGGGGCAGCGTCCCGCGTCTCCTCCTTCCTCGCCCTCCTCCGTCCTCCCCGTCTTCCCTCCTCCGCGGTTCGCACGCGTCCCCCCCGCCCAGTACAGCGCGTTTCATGGCCCCAGAGGGAGCTCCACCGAAGGTCCCAGTGGCGCAGTTCGCGTGCGTCTCCCCCGCCCAGTACAGCGCGTTTCATGGCCCCAGAGGGAGCTCCACCGAAGTTCCCAGGTGGCGCAATTCGCATGCGTCCCCCCCGCCCAGCACAGCGTTGCGTGGCCTCATGGGGAGCTCCACCGAAGGTCCCAGTGGCGCAATTCGCGTGCGTCCCCCCCGCCCAGTACAGCGCGTTTCATGGCCCCAGAGGGAGCTCCACCGAAGGTTCCAGGTGGCGCAGTTCGCATGCGTCCCCCCCGCCTAGTACAGCGCGTTTCATGGCCCCAGACGGAGCTCCACCGAAGTTCCCAGGTGGCGCAATTCGCATGCGTCCCCCCCGCACAGCACAGCGTTGCTTGGCCTCATGGGGAGCTCCACCGAAGGTCCCAGTGGCGCAGTTCGCAGGCGTTCCCCCCGCCCAGTACAGCGTTTCGTGGCCCCAGAGGGAGCTCCACCGAAGGTCCCAAGAGGCGCAAGTCAGAGTGAGGGGGCTGAACCGAACGCTCATTCACTGTCCCTGGGTGCGTGGCTGAAGTGGAATTCCGCGATGCTGATTATTGTTGTTGTACTTGTTGTTGTTGCTGCTGCTGCTGCTGCTGCTGTTGTTGAATATTATTACTTCTAAAGAAATATTATTGTTGAGACCCCTGGTGCGCGACCCCCCTCCAAAACCTAGGCCGCAGCCTCATTTCCTTCATTTTCTAGCGAAAGCTTCAGAAAAGTGGATTGTCACCGGATCCGGTTGTTTTGTTGTAATCCGTTTTCCCTTGCAAAAAACACTATAAAATGAAAATTCTTGTTCTTACTTGATCAAATTGCAAGAATCCCTTGCAAAAAATAAGGTAAAGTGGACATTCGTGCGCGCAAGACGAAATCCTTCCAAAACCTTAGGTTTCGTAACGATTTTAACATAAAAACATCAAAAACCCAATGGTTTTTAAAGAAAAAATTGTCAAAATGTCCTTCCGCGCGCTCTTGCGGATTCGTAGGAAAACCAACACTTTTTAAACAATTCTGTCAAACGGGCTTTTGCGAGCAACTTTTTCGAACTTCTGCGACAACGGTTGCGCACCTGCCAGGGCCATCATCCCTGTCAAATAATACCATGCGGGACACATTCGTCTCTCTCGTATTATGTATTGTATGGCACAATTGCACCATGCTGGGCACATGCGCGCCCCGAATAAGTGACCAAGTTCTGTGGGTGTGTACCCCACGCCAGTGTAGTAGCCACGGTCGTCCGCACGCCACGAAGTGAAGTGTCCCAACGTCATAGGGCGGGAAGCTGGGTTTGGGTGGTCGCGAAGAGTCGTTTGGATATTTGGTAGAGCTTGTAATGCCCCCCCACGAAGTGGGGGTATTGCCTGGTGTCGTATGAAAACCCTGGCACTGGGGAGAACACCACGCGTTCGGGTAAAATGATTGTTGTTGTTGTTGTTGTTGTTGTTGTGGTGGTGGGTTGTTGTGGTAAGTGTGTTGTTGTTGTTGTTTGTTGTTGATGTTGCTGTTGTTGTTGTTTGTTGTTGTTGTTGTTGTTGTTGAACATTATTTATTCTAAAGAATAATTATTGTTGGGGCCCCTGGTGCGCGCCCCCCTCGCCGCGCCTAGGCCGCAGCCACATTTTCATCATTTTCGTGAGGAAGTCTCAGGCAAAACGTGGGTGTCCGGATCCGGTTGTTTTGTTGACGCCCGCTTTCCCTTGCAAAAAACACTATAAAATGACATTTCTTGTTCTAACATAACCAAACTTCAAGAATCCTTTGCAAATAATGACACGAAGTGCACACTCGCGCGCGCAAGATGAAATCCTTCCAAAACCTTAGTTTTCGTAGCGATTTTAACATAAAAACATGAAAAACCCAATGGTTTTTCAAAAAAAAAGTTTCAAACATTCATCTTGCGCGCTCTTGCGGATTTCTGAGGAAACCCAATATTTTTCAACATTTCTGTCAAACGGGCTCTTGCGAGCAACTTTTTCACGTGCTTCGAACTTCTGCAACAACGGTTGCGCGCATGCCAGGGCCATCATCCCTGTCAAATAATACCATATGGACACATTCGTTTTTTCTTCGCGCGCGCACGCCGTCGTCGTCGGCCGCGGGGCCCTGAATAGTAGCCACGGTCGTCCGCATGCCACGAAGTGAAGTGTCCGAACGTCATAGGGCGGGAAGCTGGGTGTGGGTGGTGGCGAAGAGTCGTATGGAAATTTGGTAGAGCTTGAACCGGCCCCCCCACAAAGTGGGGGTATTGCCCGCCTCCTATGAAAACCCTGGCACTGGTGAGAACGGAGTGTCCCCAGTCTTAAATGATTGTTGTTGTTGTTGTTGTTGCTGTTGCTGTTGTTGCTGTTGTCGTTTGTTGTTTGGTGTTTGTTGTTTGTTGTTTGTTGTTTTTTGTTGTCGTCGTCCCACCCGCGACCCGCCCCGCGACCCACCCGCGACCCACCCCGCGACCCACCCGCGACCCACCCGCGACCCACCCCGCGACCCACCCGCGACCCACCCAGCGACCCACCCTCGACCCACCCGCGACCCACCCCGCGACCCACCCCGCGACCAACCCGCGACCCACCCCGCGAACCCCCTGGCGACCCACCTTCGACCCACCGGCGACCCCACCCGCGACCCACCCGCGACCCCCCGCGACCCACCCGCGACCCACCCACGGACCCACCGCGACCCACCCGCGACCCACCCGCGACCCACCCAAAATTTCGGCGCCTGCGGCGGGCTTCTGTTGCATTCGTTCCAGGTGGAGAACCTGCGACCCACCCGCGACCCAAACCGCGTTCAGTGCACAAATCAAAATTATCGGCGCCTGCGGCGGGCTGTTTTTGAATTCCTTCCATCTGGAGGTGGAGAGCCCGCGACCCACCCGCGACCCAAACTACGTTCACTGAACAAGCCAAATCTTCGGCGCCTGCGGCGGTTTCTTTTGCATTCGTTCCAGGTGGAGAACCTGCGACCCAAACCGCGTTCAGTGTACAAATCAAAATGTTCGGCGCCTGCGGCGGGCTGTTTTTGAATTCCTTCCAGGTGGAGGTGGGGGGGGAGCCCGCGACCCACCCGCGACCCAAACTGCGTTCACTGAACAAGCCAAAAATTCGGCGCTTGCGGCGGGCTGTTTTTGCATTCGTTCCGGGTAGCCCACCAGCGATCCCCCCCGCGCTGAACTTGTCAGAGCACGCAAATCGGCGCCTGCGGCGGGCTTGCTCGCATTGGTTTGGGAAAGCGCCCTCGTGTCATTCCCCCGATCCGGCCCACGTTGACTCTACAACAGCACATCGGCGCCTGCGGCGGGGCTGTGTCTGAACACGTTCATTGACAATCCGGTTGCCTGCTACAATTCGGCATCCGTGCCCAAAGCTTGGCTTCAGGGGAAGCTGCCTCAAGGCGCCCGCAATTAAGGGGCCTCGGGGGAAGACGACGACGACGACGACGACGACGAGTACGAGGACGAAGAGGCCGACGACGAGGGCGAGGAGGAAAAGGAGGGGGGGACGGAGGGGGACGACGAGAAAGGAGGGAGGAGGAGGGGGAGGAGGAGGAGGACGACGACCAGGACGAGGGGGGAGGATCGGATGGGGAGGAAGAGGAGAGGAGGAGGAGGAGGAGGAGGAGGAGGAGGAGGAGGAGGAGGAGGAGGTAGGAGGAGGAGGAAGAGGAGGAAGAGAGGAGGAGGAGGAGGTAGAAGAGGAGGAGGCGGACGACGACGACGACGACCATGAGGACGAGGACGCGGACGAGGAAGATGATGAGGAGGAGGAGGAGGAGCAGGATGAGGAGGAGGAGGAGGAGGAGGAGGGCGATATCGACAGGGAAGGTGAGGACCACGAGGTCCGCCGGCTCGACGCCCGCGCCCGCCCCCTCACTCTTATCCGCAATTGCGGGGTGCTACGTACGGCGTTTCTTGGCCCATAGGGAGCTCCACGGAAGACGATGCTCACAATTGCGGTACTCACAACTGCAAATGGTTGGGTTCTTCGCCAGGCTAATGTTGTCTTTGACCAGCTCACGCTGGATTACCTGGGCTTGCTTCGATCAGGTAGTCAGGGGGGAGGCCCTGGCGGTGGCGAGATTCGGGGGATGCCGACGACGAGGGCTCGAGCGCCGAGGGGTGAACGAATTGACGATGCGGCAGGGAAGAGGACACCTGGGCAGCCTCGCGCCGGGCGTGCCCCACGCCTCGGCGGGGGCCCGCGTCTCCGCGTGCTGGAGCTCGGCGACAAGCTCGGAGAGTGAGCGGCGCCGCGGGCTCGACGACGAGCTCGGGGATATAGCGTGCCCCGAGTGCATGGGCGGAGCGCTCCGCACTGGGTCAGGCCATGCTCCGCGGGGTGTCTGCCGAAGAAGAAAAAGCGGCATAGGCTTGAACGTTCGGAGGTCCGCGCGGACCTCTTCCTCCTCCTCCTCCTCCTCCTCCTCCTCCTCCTCCTCCTCCTCCTCCTCCTCCTCCCACCCCTCCTCCTCTCTCCTCCTTCCTCCTCCTCCTCCTCCTCCTCAGCCTCCTCTATCCTCCTCCTCCTCCTCCTCCTCCTCCTCCTCCTCCTCCTCCTCTCTTGGATCGGCGCCGGACCACCCCTTCCCTGGAGCGCGAAGCGCCAGGGGCGGCGCCAGAGGCGCTACCAGGGGGGGTGGGGGGGGGTCCAGCGCCGATCCGAGAAGCCCGCGCGGAACTCAGACAGCCGGTGCCTCTGCCGTCTTTTTGTTCCTCGCGAGTCCAGCAAGGCCGGGTAGGACTGCGCTGCTGAACTGTCGCCCCCCTTGGCGGAGAAAAGCGCGCGCATGGCGGGCGAAGGCAGTCGACTGGAGGGCATCGCGAGAAGGCATTGGCGCCCTGCGAGGCGACAAGAGCTGCCGCCTAGCCGATGCGCGTCGGCGCTTGCATCAGCGTTGCGTCGAGGGCGCGTCCGAAGTGCGCCTTGGCTGGCAGCGGCCTTCCGCATCAGGGCCACCTCTCCCTCCCCTCCCCTCCGCCGTCCGCCTCCCTCCCCCGTCCTTCTCCTCCTCCTCCCTCTCCTCCTCCTCCTCCTCCTCCTCCCTCCTCCTCCTCCTGCTTCTCCTCCTCTTCCTCCTCCTCCCTCCCACGCTGGAGCCATGTAGGACCTGGAACCCGAGAGCCCTCCACGTGACGCCTCTCTCCTGGCCAGACACCCGGGCGTCACGACGCGCGCCCCTGGAGCGATCGACCCTCCCTCGGGATCTGCTTCTGCCGGAGGCCGCGCCTGCGGGTTTTTTGTTATTTCTTTCGCCGGAAAAGCCCGGAATAACCCCCCGAGTTGGGTTTTAGTCGGGGGTTTCCCGAGGGGGTTTCTGGAATAGTTTTGCTGTTCATAGTGCGGCCATCGAATCCCAGAAAAAATAGCAAAACAAAACCCGAGTTGGCGTTTTTTTTTCTGGGGATGTCCGCGGCCAAGCGGGCCTCTCCGGGGCCCCTGGCCACCGCAAGCGACCCACGACGACGAGACCACACGGCCCTGGGGGTCGAGGGTCCACGTCATATGAAAGAGTCGCGACGCTGTCGCCGGGGAGTCAAGGGGGTCCTGAGGGGGAGCCGGAGGTCAAGGGGAGGAGGAGGAGGAGGAGGAGGAGGAGGAGGAGGAGGAGGAGGAGGAGGACGAGGAGGAGGAGGAGGAGGAGGAGGAGGAGGAGGAGAGGAGGAGGAGAGAGGAGGCGGAGGAGGGGAGGAGGAGGAGGAGGCGGGAGGGGATTAGGAGGAGGCGCAGACGGATCAGAGAGGAGGAGGAGGAGGAGGAGGAGGAGGAAGGAGGAGGAGGAGGAGGAGGAGGAGGAGGAGGAGGAGGAATGAGAGTCGGCGGCGGAGGAGGAGGAGGAGGGCGGCGGAGGCGGGGAGGAGGAGGAGGAGGAGGAGGAGGAGGAGGAGGAGGAGGAGGAGGAGGAGGAGGAGGAGGACGGGGAGGAGGAGGAGGAGGAGGAGGAGGAGGGAGGAGGAGGAGGAGGAGGAGGCGGAGCAGAAGGCGCAGGGAGGAGGAGGAGGAGGAGGAGGAGGAGGAGGAGGAGGAGCAGGAGGAGGAGGAGGAGTGTCCTGAGGAAGCCGGCCCCTGGAAGTCTTTCCTGGCGCTCGGGCTCCCAGGGTCGCTCCGCTGGCCCCGAGGCCGTGAGCGAGCGGTGCGGGATGGCCTCCAAGGGGTCCCGGCGACCCGCTGCCCTCGAGGGGCCCGTTGCCTTCATGCCAGCGGTTGTTCGGGCCTTGTGCAGTCAGCCCGCACGGTAAGGATGGGCAACCTTCCCAAGGGGTACCCCTGCATCCTTGCCTCCCCGTTTCATTCTTGGCCACCTTCGTCGGCCGCGCCCCGCTCGAGCAGCTTCGACGTGGGCGTCCAAGGCCCTTGCCTCCTTACCGTGCGTCCTTATTATACGGGTTGGCTGGCTCGGCCACATGGCCAGCTCAAGGAGGGGTGCTCCTCTCGAGATTCGCCAGAGGGCCAACCTTGCCCCGTCGGCGGGAGCGCTGGGGCGCAGGGCTCTGCGGAGTCGTCCGGCGGCGAGGGCGGCGCTGCCGGCGGGCAGCTCGGGAGAGCCTGGCGACACGTGCCACCAGAACTCCTAGGAGGAAAGGGCACCCCAGATTTCGTAATAAAAGGGAGGGGGTCACAACCCTCCCAGACGAGAAGTTAATTTTAGACCCCCCAGGCTATCCATCAAAGGGCGGCCCTCTGCCCAGGCCCCCCCGAACCCTCCAAGACAGCTCAAATTATCAGGAGGGGAAAAAACACACAGACACAATTAATCGTCGATCCCCAGGAAAATATGGGAAAATATGGGAAGTGGTGGGGACGACAAAAACCCAGAAAATATAGGAAAATATGGGGAATATTTTTATTTGTGTGTATTTATTTGTGTGTCCCAGTTTCCCTTCAAATTACCCCCCCCCCCCCCGAATGTGACCCCCCCCCCCACTTTGTGATGGAAGCCGGAGTGCCCATGCCTCGCCCCTGCGCCCGTTCTCCCTTTTTTTTGGGACCTCCGGGGAGGCCCTCGCGTCGCCACCATGGGATGCGCCACCCAGGTGGGCCCAGAGCAGCAAGGGCTCCCTCGAGGGCGCGAAGTTATTCGCGCTTCGCGCTTCGCGGTCCTCGTTCCTTCTCCCCCTCCTCCTCGTCCTCCTTTTCTCCCTTTGGGGGGGCGGCGCGAGGGCGCGAAGTTATTCGCGCTTCGCGCTTCGCGCAGCGCGAAGCGCGAAGTTGGGAGCCCTAGGAGCAGGGGGGCGTCGGTATACAGCGCCGCCTTGCCGGTGCATCGGCGAGGCAGCCCGAGCTGGAACCCGATCTTCTCCATCCGGGGGAGCGTAAGACCCGGGTTTGCCGGGACTCGGGTTCGCCACCGTTTTTTGACGACCGCGATTGGGATTTTGACGAGGAGGAGTTTCGTGGGATGTCTGCAGCGGGAGGCCTCGTCAAAATGCAGGCTCGGCCTCGTCATTTTTTTGACGATCTCGTCGGGGATTTCCGAGTCCCCCGTACCCGGGTCTTACGTCTCCCCGATTCTCCATCCAGGCATCGCCGACGCACCGCTGATGCAGTGGCGATGTAGCGCGACCCTTCGGCCCCACCTGCTCCCTCCAGCACCACGCAGGCGGCCTCCAAAAGAGCAACAAGTTCGGAAGGGGGCGGCGCGAGTGGGGCGGCCTTCTGCAGCCATGAGGGCTGCTAAGAGGGGCAAGGGGCCTCCGAAATGCCCTCCGGGCTTCTAAGAAGCCTCCTTACGTGAAAGCCTCCTGGCCCATCTATCGCCATGGGGGAAGCGGGTCCTGAGGGAAACGGGTCCTGAGATTGTTCTCCGTATTCGGGTTTGGGACCCACCAATGGCCCCATGACTGTCAGGAAACGATTCAAGATGAAAAGTTCGTCTTGGGGGGAGGCACCAGGGTCCAGGACCCGTTTCCCTCAGTACCCGGTTCCCCCATGTTCACATCTAGGCAGGCCCTTGCTTTCTAGGGTGCCCCTCGCTTTCTGAGCAGACCCCCGCGACCTTCGTCCCCCCCCCCTGAGCGAGAGGGGCCTCGAGGTTTTCGCCGCGTTCTGCCTCCCGAGGCTGTCAACCCTTGGCATCGCTCGGACGTGCGCATTTTTTCGCGCCGAGGACCGCCGAGGCGCATCTTGGATCCCCTCAGCGACAAGCGCGCGACACCGCACCATGCACGGGTGCACGGGGGATGGACGACCGAGCGCCGGCGAGCAGCGGCGCAGAATATGTGAGACCGATGCCTGCCGGGGAACGCCGCCCCGGTGTCCAGGACCTGGGCCCCTCTCGCGACCCTCTTTCTCGCCCGTGGCTGCAGGCGTGCATGCGCGAGGCCCGCTCCTCGCTGCTGCAGCCATTGCGCAGTCCACGCGGCTGCCGAAGGGGCCCAAGTGCCCAGCATCCTGTCAGGGTCGAGCTCGTTTCGGCTACGCGCTCGGTGGCCGAGCAGACCCAGACTCCGAGCCTGGACAGGTGACGTCACGACTGCTTTTGCATGGGGATCCCTGCCTCTCGACCCCATGGGGCCCATGCCCCCCCCCCTCCCCCAGCGAGGGCGTAAGCCCTCGCCCGGACAGGTTTGATGAGCTTCTGTAATGTTGGAGCGCATTTTCTCAGTGGTATTTTTCTGGCGAGTAATGGCCAATACCTGGAGGGCCTCGTACCCTCGACGCGGGATGGACGGTTGGGCTTCTCCCTTTAGCAGAGACCCCGTCGGAGTCTTTGAGGTGTTCAGTCTGTGCTGCCATGTTTCGTGTGTGTTGGGGTAGCTCGAATACATGTTCTTTTAGAGGGTGGTGGCAAGCTCAACTGCAGTTGGCTGAGCTAGAGAACACTACACGCGCGGTCCTTCGGGGCAAGTGGGAGCTTGCACGTGTTTGTATGAGATGGTTTCCACTCGCAACCTTACACGGAGAATTCCTTGCAGCATGCGCACCAAATATGAAAGTGGCATGCAGTGGAGGCCCGTGTCAAGAAGCACCTTGCTTGCCTCAAGGATGCCCTGGGGTTCTCGGGCTTCGATGGTTTTGCGATGGAAGGCGCGACAGTTCCACACCAAAAATCAATGGACGTCCTGGTGTCTCAGGGTTGGGTTTCTTGTGAAAGTTTTCTTGTGGACTGGCCTCCACTGCAATTCCTTGTAGCATACGCGCCACATGTGGAAGTGGCATGCCAACTTCCATCAACATCCAGCGGGTTCTCTTCGAGTGCTTCTTGTTCCAGGGCGAAATTCTCATCGTCGACGAAGGATGTGCCCTTACTGTACATGTCCTTCAGAACGGAGTCTCATCGCATTTGCCTGCTGAACGTATCCCGCCAAAACGGCCGACACTGCATTGGCGGAACCTTGGAGCCTCCTTCGAAACTTGGTATGCTTGAAATTGCTACCCTGTGCGATTTCTGATTGCTCGCGTGTTCATCTCACCGCCCCCCCACCCCCGCTGGTGTAGAAGCGGACGTCGCAAAGGGAGGTGGCCCTCCACAGCCTGGCAGGAGACCTCGCAGAAGCCGCCCTCCGGCCCACTGAGCCACTCACCCTGCCAGGCCTTCTGGGGAACCCGCAGGCCCTTCCAGCCCGCACAGGTCATCTGTGCACCACCCTGCCTGCCAGGGCAACAAAAATGCCGGGTGCAGGACACACACACACACACACACACACACAACCTGGCCCTTTTCCACCGAAGGCAGGCATCCCCAGCAGAACAAGAGAGAGTGGAACGCCAGGTTCCGTCCCTCGCCATGGTCAGCACAACAGCTTACAGCAGTTGTTGACAAGGAAGCGTCGCGGTGAAAACAAATACACACCACCCTGCCTGACCAGGGGCAGCCTGGGCCCCAGGACGGCGTATAGGCAGCTCGGCATCGCTCGGACGTGTGCATCTCGTCTCGACGAGGACAATCGAAGAGCATCTCTGGTCACCCTGCGGAAGAATAAACGCACGACGTCGACAAATGCACGGAGAAGGGACGTTCGAGCAATGGCGAGGTACAGTCGGACCGAGGTGTAAGATCGAGGTCGTTTCGGGGAGGGCACCTGTGTGTCCTGCATGCCTGCGGGATGCTCTTGTGTTAGCCAGGGGGTTGTCTACAGAAAGGGGGGGGTACCCCAAAACGCTACCAGCCCGAATGCACGAGAGTCTTGTGCACCCTGGGGCAGGGTAACCTCGAAGCCTCATCCTTCTGGCCGCTCTTGCGGGATGTGTCCTTCTGACCTCAGGTCCGACGGCAGACCTCCCGGAGGCCCCCGCACCCCCACCCACCTCCGGAGCCCACGGGCGTGGCCGTAGGCAGACGCGGCGGCGGTGCACGCCCCCCTGCCTTCGGAGGGAAGGCCGCGCCAGCGTCCCGCCGGACCTCCGGCGCCTCGAAGACATCGTGGCGGAGGCTGTTTCCTACAGTTTTCGGCCCCTCCTCGGGGCCCTTACCTGGCCTCGGCGTCTCGAAGAAATCGAGGTGGAAGTTTCTCATAGTTTTCCGCCTTTCGGGGCCCTTACCGGGCCTCGGGATCGTCAGATAGCGACTCGGGATGGGAAGCCAGCCCCCATGGAAGTGGTCGAGATTGTCAGGGGCCTACGTTTTTGAAAACTTGGAGATGCCGGATGTGTGGGTCGCGATCCAACCCTTTCTATAGCTCGCGGCCGCCTGTCCTCCTTGCACCCCGAGTGGGGGCGAGGTGCGAGCGAGCTCCACTGCTTCCTGCGCACGGCCATGCTGCCTGGTCCGGAGGAGGACCAGTCCGCGCGGCCGGAGCGGCGAGGGGCTGGCGGGGTCGGCCTCTTGCTCCACCAGACTCACTCCTCCAGACTCAGGGACCGCCCCTTCATTACTCTTGGCCTTCCAGATGGGGTCGGAGGATCGCACCACATCGCCGATGCGGCTCGATTTGGAGCCCGTTTCTCTCAACGCCGTTGGCGCCAATGCCGACGTCATCGATGCATCGCCGAAGCATCGGCGATGCATCGCCGAAGCATCGGCAATTCCGGCGCGATTCTCCGATACCATCAATTCGGACCCCATCTAGGAGGCCCTCTCAGCGAGCCAATCAAGAAACAGTTCCATTGGGTTGATTAGGCGAGCCCCCCTGCAGCAAGAGCTCTAGCCAAGCCTATGTCGTCCCCTCATTTTTGGTGTTGTTGTTGCTTCCTTCTCCTCCTTAGCCAAAACGTCAAACACGTCTAACACACGTGAAAACCTTGCTGAGGTGACGGTCGTCACCGCCACCTTCGGCGTCAGCGTTGGAGCGGCGTCGGCGTCGGAGCGGCGTCGTCGTCGTCGTCGTCGCCGTCGCCGTCGCCGTCGCCGTCGCCGTCGCTGTCACCGTCGCCGTCGCCGTCGCCGTCGCCGTCGTCGTCGGCATCGTCGCCGTTGGCGTCGTCGACGGCGGCGTGGTGGTGGTGCTCGTCGTCGCCGCCGTCGTCGTCGTCGTCGGCGTCGTCGGCGTCGGCGGCGTCGTTGGCGTTGGCCGCTCGACAAGGTCGTCGGCCGATCGGCCCGCAGCAGGAGAGCGACGCCCCAGCCGGCGTGCAGCCGTCGCCCCGCCACGACGCTGCGCCCGATGGCGGTTCGCCATTGGGCGGCGAGGGGCCGTCCGCCTCGGCGGCGCGGGAGGCGGAGGAGGAGCCGAATGTTAGTTCAGACGCGCTCCTCCCTCCTCCTCCTCCTCCTCCTCCTCCTCCTCCTCCTCCAGCCGCTGCAGCGGCCCAGACTACCCCCCTTTCCCGCGGCACTTCAGTACACTTCCTTACAAAGTCAGGTGTTTCAGCGGCATGGCTTCTCCCTCGAGGGGCTCTCCTCGCCCATGAGAGAGGGGGTCGGGGCCCCTCGCGCGAGGCGCTGGCTCCTCGCCGTGAGCGCCTTCGCCTTCCTGCAGCTGGGCGTACTTGGCGCCCTGGTGATGGAGAGGACCCGCCCCCACGCTGAAGATGGCAACACATTCACACTTCGGACGTGCGTCTATAATCCCATGTTCCTGACGGGGGCTACGCGGGCATCGGAGGTCTCTGACGAATTCAAAAATATTGGAGCTATCATGCTGCCAGGTACCTCCCGTCGCCAGACAGAGGACACACACTCACTTTTCCTTCATCCTTATCACTGGGAACTGAGTTTCGGGTGGACGAGGGCCTCCAACAAGAGTTGCGGGGTGTCGATCTTCCTCCACCAGAGGCGCTTCCCGAGGAACTTCATTCGTAAGATTTTCACGCCGCCCAGTTTCTTATGTGGACGTGGCGGAGCAGTACGTTTAAAATCACAGACCTCGGACGTTCTATTCATGGTGCTCTACTTCCCAACTCTTCCGTCTCTCCGCGGCGGACGTACGCAGTATCGGAACGTCGTGCTGGGACTTTGCAACTGGGCGAAGTCGGTCATCAACGGAGTGGGCTCCAGGTGCACACCGTTTGTCGGCATCGATTTGAATGACCAACTGGGCTTCTGCGCAGACGACACATTGGACGGCGAGTGCGTCACGGCCACACGGGACACCAGTACACACGGAGCCGACTGGGACTGGGAACGGGAAGCCGCCGCACACGTGGGCCCTTGTGGTGCTGAGTTGGAGCACTTCGCTGGCAAGAATTGGCACCAGGTGCTGAGGGACACGGCGCTGAGCGCGATCAACACGCACTACCCAGCTGGGCCAACGTTTCACGGGCCACTGGGACACTCGTCGCGGATAGACTTTATCCACGCTCCGACGGGCTTGCTTCCTCACGTCCGAGTCTGCCGTGTTCTTCGACCTGCGGGGAGGCGGCTCCAGCCCGTGAATTCCCTGGACGACAGGGACCACCGCCCCGTCTTCATGGAATGCAGCTACCGCTTCGAGGCCAGTTCTACCCAGAGGCAGTGCTGGGACTTCGATACCATGTCGCGCATCCTGCGCGGCGGGGAGGAGTGCACCTCTGCGGTGGAACGGGTCCACGAAGCCATCCTGACCATCCCTGAAGATGAATGGGTACGGCTTTGCTCACGGCCTACGACAGACGAGCTGTGGAACTCTATTTCGGTGCTGCTCAGGGAGGCGGCGCTGACGGAGTTTTTACGCCCTTCACCTTCGGCGGCTGAGAAGTCGGTTCTGGAGAGGCTGCGTTCGGAGATCCTGGCACGTCGCCGACGGTTGCGTGAACTTCATATTGGTCGAGACTCGGGCCGAGCGGGGGGCGCGGCGCGAGTGGGGACTGCCCGGCGGTGCGCCGTTAGTGACCCTCGCACCGTTGCTCCCCGTCAGGCACGCGCGGACGTCGAACTGGAACTGGCGAGGATCACGTTCAGGCTCAGGCAGCTGTCACGCCAGATCACCAAGGAACGCAACTCCCTGCTGGTCGGGGAGCTCAACTCCGCCTGGAGGGAGCACGACCACTTCGCCGTGCAGACTCTGCTTCGGCGACTGGCCCGCAAGGGCAGAGGGCCCCGACATCGGAAGTACTTCAAGGCACGAGAGGAGAACTGCGAACCACAGGACATCGCCGACTTCTTACGCTTGCCCGCTCAGCAGGGCGGACTCTCGGCGGTGGACTGCGACCTACAGGCGGAGCTGACGGAGCGCTTCGACCGCACCTACGAGGGGGACGAGGCTCACCGCACGGACCAGCAGCGCTACGACACGATGCAGATGGTAGATTTAGAGACGGCAGCTCAGGACCTTTCGGGCGTCATCAGGGCGCTCCGCAGGGCACCGAAGAGACGAGCTACACCCGCGTGGAGTATGCCGTCGGAGCTCTGGCTGATCCTGATCGACCCCGACCAGTGGCACAAGTTCAAACGTGGTGGAGTGGGTTCGTGCCCTACCCCGGCGACGGCACAGGCCTTCAGGGAAAGAATGCTCGACATCATCGGATCCTTTCGGCGGACTTCCTCCACCCCACTGGTCTTCGACATCTCCCACATCGTGGGCCTGGACAAGGGCAATGGCAAGCCAGGACCGCTCGGACAACGTTGGATACATCTCTTCTGCCCGATGGGCAAGGCGTGGAACGCCCATCTTTGGAATCGGGCTCGTCGCCACCGTGACCCACTTCCGTATTTTTGTCACGGCTTTGCTCGTCGCCGCCGGCGCGAAGACGCCATCGCGGTGCAGGACTGCTTGAGCTGGAGGCTCCAGAAGTTATCGCTATCACACGCCATCATCAATGAAGATGCCACGAACGCTTTCGCCAGTACGACACGAGAGACGATCTTGAATTGCCTCGAGTCCCTCTACCTCCCCGAGGACGTCAGGTTCCAGCACTCTCGCACGATGCAGACGGCGATGCAGATCATGGGACCCGACAGGCCCATCTCCCTCAGGCCTACCTCTGGAGAGCTCATGGGACACCCTAATCCTGCCAGAGGCTTCCCTTATTTCTATCTTCAGGGCCTGGAGGCTTTTCTGAGCTGGAGGGCGGGGACGAGCTCGTACACGTACAGGCGGAGGAGGTGGACGGCACACGCACGGACACGGGCATCACACTGTACGCCGACGATATCACGAAGACGGTGATCCCAGGAAGAGGACCTGAACCCTTTGGAGGAGGAGGAGAGGCACGTCACCTTACCGCACTGGCACAGGTTAGCAGCAGTAATTTAGCATCCTCCCTGGACGGCATCGGCGTGGGGCTCAACGAGGGCAAGCGAGTCACACTGGCTAGGCTTTTTGGGAAAGGCTGCATCGCCCAACGCCGCCTCCTGCATGCAGGCACTCTGCGTCTCTCTGGGCAGTTTGGCAGATTTATGCGCATCCTCGGCGGTTGGCTGACGGTGCAGGGATCGTTGCAGATTGAGAAAGGAAAAAGATTCCAGGCTGGACGGACTGGCCTCGGCATCATCTCTAACTTTCTTGTCCACGAGGCTGCCCGCGGCATCAAGCGCATGGCCATCCTTTCGTACGTGCAAGGTGCTCTCTTGTCGGGGATGGAGGGGAGGGTCCCAGATAAAAGTTTCACGGTCGAGGGTGACAAGATCATGATGAGGGCGATGCGCAGGGGTCTCGGGGTCAAGGGCACTGAGGACCACGACGGGGTGCGCTGGAAGTGGAGCTCTCACAGGGTATGGGCCTACTGGCAGATCCTTCCCTTGGCAGACGAACTGCGACTTCGGAGGCTACGCTGGTATCAGTCCTGGATTAAATACCCTAGCGCCCACAGTCAGGTTCGGGCATGCATACTAGGCACGATCAATGACATACCTAGCATGAACGACGACTGGACCATCCACGAAAAGGCTAACCCCTGGGCCCGTCAGGTAATTGAGGACCTCCAGTTTGCCAGAAGCCAGTCTGAGGAGTTCGCTGATTTAGTTCCAGAAGATTTTCCTCTCTTGGGTCTATTTTACACTAAGGAGTTCGACGACTGGGCCTCGATTGACCTCACAGTCATCAGGGCCACCTATTTTTCTAAAGCGATCGCACCACCTAGTGGGCCCTCGGTGGCCCCGAGTATCGTGATGGAGGAGGAGGTGGAGGAGGAGGTGGACGCCCCTGGCGAGTTCGTCTGCAATCTGAAGAACTCAGAGGGGCAGCGGTGTGGTGACACATTCACCAGCATGAAAGCTCTTTTATTACACGCAGGCAGAGTTCACAAAGTTCGAAACGAGGCAGCACTTCTCACGGTCACGAACCAGTGTTTCAGGTGCCTCCAGGTTCTCAGCACTCGGGAGAATGCTCAGCGACATGTTATGAGGTCTTACGCCCACAATCGCTGCGCTCTTGGACGCAGTAGCTACACGGCGGCAGAAGTTGTTCAACCTTTTTCACTCGAATGCCCCGTATGCAGCTTCACGGCTCAAGATCTCCGACAACTGCAGGTACACATACGCACACACTGTGCCCTGGGTGCTCCTACTCTCCCTCGGCCTCGGCTTCGACCGCGGCATGTCGCAACCAGACGCGGAGTCCATGGACCTGGAGCTGCTGATCAAGAAGCACAAGCGCAAGGCAGGCGACGGCGAGGACCTCGGAGGAGCACCCTCGGGGAAAAAAAAAGGCCAACCTCGGGGACGCAGCAGACGATGCAGAAGACGGTCTTCAGCAGGTCGAGGGGGCCCTTCGGGCTCGAGACATGCAGCAGGCCATATCGATTTTGCTCAAGATGGCGTGCATGCACGCGCAGCTGCTGAGGGACCTGGCGGCGTCGGAGTGGGTGTGCCTGGTCGTCCCGTCGCTGAGCTTCCTGGTGGTCGCAGGGCGAGGAGCAGGCAAGATGTACGCGGAGGCGGCAGCCATCGCGGCAGCGAAGCCCCACCTGGGGCCACCACATTTGTACATAGCGCGCGGCGTGTTCAAGTCGATGGTCGATTCAGAGAAGCTGCAGAAGCTGGGGACTCAGGCGTACCAAACCCTGGTCTTTTTTTACGAGAAGTTCGTGTCGATCAGCTCGGCCGCGGAGCTAGGATTAGTGATCAGGCACTTCCGTTTGAAGAAGTGCTACAACGAGGAGTACACACGACTGCAGTTCGCGATCGGCGGGGACATCACGGTGCAGCTGGCGGACGCTCAAGGGGGTCCGCCCGAGCGTCATCTGAGCAAGCTGGAGGTGGAGCAGTCGATCATCAAGCTAGCCCAGCTGGAGGACGCGAAGCTCAAGCTCGGGACCGCCCCTCAGGGGCACTTGGAGACCATGGCGCAGCGCATCCTCGACAAGACG